TGGGCTCCATGTTTCAATTGAAAGTAAGCGCATCTACTCAAAAAATGACCCAGTATTTAATATAGTAGCCTAAGGGAAAGTACTGCTTCCGCTAACATAAAGGACATTGCCCATTCAATACAAACATCAGGAGTTATTTATTAAAGGTGTGTGTTTAATAAAATTATTCTAACACTCTCTACTCATAAACGTGGATAAGCGAGCAAACACGCAATTAGAAATTCAAATTTCGTTTTTAATAATGGCCCAACCGGAACTAAGAGTTTTTGGTTAATGACTACTGCAGGATTTTGACTTTTTGGAATGACTAATGTATCTTTGTATGTACACACGACGTGTATGACTCACCGATTTACACCCACAACGTTCACTTTAAATTATTCATGTTCAATGCAAACGGCCGGCACCATAAGCACTAATTGATATATTGAATGTGCAAAGGACCTTGTCTTAAAATATACATTTAACACGGCAACTAATGATCACCACGTGAAATAATACACTGGCGCATTTCAAGAACGCTCTTAGAACTACATAATTCTACTGCAACAGGTATTCTAAAGGCTGCGGCAAAGGTGAAGTAGTTGTAAAAGTAGTTCTGACTGTGGTCTTTTTTTATTTCTAAACTCCTTCTAGAAGAAGCGGTACACAAATCGCAATCTTCGTCACTAATGATTCACGCTAGATTCAATTACGCGTTCTTAAGAATTCTGTTGAACTCATTTTTATAATAATGGGATTTATTACGTATTCAACACAATTTAAATCCAATTACAACACATGCAGATACAAATAAATAAGTCGAAGTTACCCATTCAAATTCTTTCTGGTATTGAAGTGCTTCGGCTCGTACTTTTGGAACAATACAAAGCTGCTATACTCAGAAGACGCTACGACAAAAAGAAACAAACGGTACAAAAGTCAACAGGGTTAAGTAGGTAAAATAGGTTTAACAACGCAATCCGATGTTGATGTAAAATACAAAGGTGTCTCTTAGACAAGACTTATTAGAGTTCAAAATCTGAAGATGGGTGCGAAATCAGTATAAAATTTGATTTGATTTGTGAAATAAATATGCGAGCTCACAAATAAGGAATAAAAAAATTCGAGCTAAAGTTTTCAACGATTTTTGAGCGAATACTTGTATTAGTCCAGTCAAATTAGACAAAATAAGGGGCAAACCCGGAAATTTGAAAAAAACAAGCTGAAAATTGGCGGACATGTTGAGGATAGTGCCAGAACCAATTTCCGAAAAGTCCCAAAAGATCCCGGTTGGGGACGCCATGTTGAAAAAACTACCCCTAAACTCGATTTCTCGAGTTTTTAGCAAAACCAATGAACCAATGGTCTGATTCTCGTTGCTAAGGTGTCAAAATGTTTGTTTTAATGTGTATTTGGAGTAAAAACATAATTCCACACATAAAGAAGCCCTTGGAAATTCGAACTTTTTATGAAAATCACCCCCAACCTGGATTTTTCACGTTTTCGGCATTTGTTGTTGTTTTGTTTGCGCAATCCTAGGATTGGTTGGACGAAGTCCTCCACCTTTTCCTATCCTGCGCTAATCTTTTCAGTTCTACATAACTACCCTTGCCTACGTCCCTAACTATTTGGTCTATGTGTTTGAGTCTCTGTGGTCCTACCCCTCTCTTGCCCTCTGCCCTACCTTCTATAGCTAGAAGTGCTATTCCTCCGTGTCTTAGCCCGTTCGCTATTGTTGTTGTATCTCGTCTTCTCTGTACGGTTTTCAACATTTCCCTATCTATCCAGCCAATCCTAATTCTATCCTACTTTTGTCTGCCTATCGTCCAGGTTTCGCACCTGTTATGACCTACACTCCATTTGTACGTTTTTAGCAATCTTTTCCTAATTCCTATATTTATCTCGGATCTTAACAGGGCCCACTTTTATTCCAATGCTTTTTTAGCCTGCGATATACTGGATTTTATATCTTCCTTGCAACGATTATCTTGTGTAACCTAGCAAAAGGAACGGTTATCTTAGAAAGTGTTGATTTATGTAATGCGAAAACTGGTTTCCTCATCGGCTGTTTCCAATTCCTAAAAGAAATAAATAAATCTGGAAGCTACGGTTTCTTAGTAACGAAACACCCAAATTTATATCACGTTTCGATACCATGCGTTCAGGTGTAACGGTTACTTTTGTAAGAGTAGATCGGTGTCTGATTTTTACTGATAGTATAGATTTACGTCATTGTGTTGTCGTTCGGTCTCAGAATGTCTCCAGTTGAAAACCTGGGTATGGATTGGTTATTTTCACGCCGTTTTTTTTAGTTATGTGCGAATAGTTGAAAGGATTCCGCTTATTTACATTAATTGTAAAATGCATTTAAATATTTTTTACGTGCAACTTAACCTGACTGCAAATAATAATGAAAAATATAATTAATAAAATAGTGTTCATTTAGTTAGTACTCTCAATCTTGTTCTGAACTTTGAAGGTTTTTTTTTAACAGAAATTTTGACATTCAGGTAGAGAACGTCAAGAAGAACGATTAGAAACATCAATACTAATTATCCGAAGCTTTATTTAACAACAATAGCCGGAAAAGAGAGAAACCCATGATGGGGGTGATTTTTTTAAAAAGGTCACATTTGCAAGGGCATCGTATTGTACGAAATAATTAATTTCACTCAAAAGAAACATCAAAACAACCTTGACGACGAAATTTGGACCATCCGTTCATTTGTTATGGTCAAAAATCGGAAAATCAAATTTAGGGGTAGTTTTTTCAAGATGGCGTCCGTTCCCCAACCGGGATCTTTTGGGACTTTTCAGGATTTAGTTCTAGCACCATCCTCACCAAGTATGCCAACTTTCAGCTTGTTTTTTCAAATTTCTGGGTCAATGTCTACTTTTACTGGACTATATGGTCATTTCAGAGCGTGTAAGTGCATGTGAAGTTAGCCTCCTCATTTATAAAATTTTGCATTTTCAAATAGAGCCCATAAAGTTCTAGATTTCTTTATAAATCTTTTTGACAATTAAGTCATAAACGAACAATTTTGAAAATATTGGGGGTTGGGGCAACTTCCTCCCATTGCGTCATTAGTAAATTTCTGAAAAGACCATTAATAGCTCTAAAGTTCCTGATAAGTCATTAAAACATCACTGCAGAAAAACTCATCAAATGTTCTACATTAATAGCGCCCAATGTGGACTGTAGATGCTCTACTAAATATACATTTTACGGTAAAATCTTATAAGTGGTAATGAATAGTTGCACAAATTGTGTAGGGTGATCTAAATATCATTTAACTAATCCTTAGCTAAAGCTGTTGCGATTTTATCACACTTTTGATCTCTAGTTTTTTCAACAAAAACAAAACAAAACTTTCGTGTAAACATAAAATTATCCTACTAAAAATCAAGCTCTTGTGTACCCTTGATAAAATCACAGTACCTATATATGGTTTATTTCCTTACAACTATTGTTACATGAGAAGTAAATTTTAATTTTGTGAAATATGGACCAGTTGTAAAATTTTGTTCTAATTTAACAGGATTCAGAATTAAGGTAGCAAGAAAGAGAAAACATTAAGCTTTCTAACTGATACCTATGTTGCTATTTTAAAAAATTCAAGATGGCGATCGAACTCAAAAACCATGTGTCACAATAGTTATTTTTTAACCTCAAAATATGTGCAATCATTTGAAATGGACATTATACTTTTATGATGGAACAGTCCAAAACGCCAATTTTTGTTACAAAAAATCGTAATTACTTTTTTGGTTCAATAATGCAGATTTTGCGCAATAATTCATTTTTTATTATTGTACCTAGCTTTTGTTATCTACCATCAAGCTATTTGTGCTAATCTCGGTGCTAATTGGTCGTTGCACGGCATACGAATCTTTTAATAACTACACATATTGCTATACATTTAATCTAAATTAGTTAACAACAGCTATTTAGATGTTATTAGCAGCCCATAGCAGTTTGTCGAGTGTTGCTTAACGGATTAAATTATTTCCACCACAAAAACATGATAGCCAGTATTACCAGATTTTGCTGGGAGCTATGCACTAAGTTTGATGATCAGACATTCATGTTTTCCTTTTAACAAACGGTTGTTGTTCATATAATAATATAATCGAGGGTAAAATATAGGGTGTGATACATCAATGTAATCAGGGAAAAACATGTAAATTGTTTGTTAAGATATACAGGGTGTTGCATTTAAAAATACATTGGATCAAATCTCAGAAACGGTGGCCCCAAAAATACGTTACTAGACATACAAAATACTAAACAAGCAAAAATTTTTCTCGATATTGTTCTAGAAGCAATTCCACTATAAACATTACGTACAAGACGTCAATCTGAGGCATTGAACATTAGCATATTCAAGAAACAATTAAAAAAACACCAATTATTGTCTATTCTAAAATAAGATTCCACACCTGGTGGAATAGTTAGTATTCCATATCTAATTTCTATGAATAATTATGTGAACGTTAAGGCACATTGTGAAAAATTAGATAATATTAATTTCATCTGCCAAAATATCTCCTTTAGTGTTACAAGGCGATATTGCAACGACTTATCTACCGGAAAAATCTTAATTAACCATTTTTATACGCACACCCGTTAACAAATTACCTGAGATTCGGAATGAATGAATGAAGAAATATGCAAATTCGCACAATATATATTAGCAGTAAATTATTTACCTTAAACGCTCCCAAGTGCCATGAACAGTCTATAAACATTTTTTTTTAATTTTGATGTAGATACTATATGCTACTATGACAAAGCCATGGTACTGATATTCCCCCCACCCCTCACAAGTCACCCAAATTTCTAATTTGAAGTTACTGCATATTGATGTGGTACTGTTTTCCTAAAGAAATTGATATACATTTTGCCAAATTATTGGTCCATGTATGTAAGTATCTAGCAATGAAGGCGATATAATGTGTAGTATTTTAAAATTGGATGGTACAATTTAATGATAACAAAAAATGTATCTACTTACGTTTTGTGTTCACGTTTGAATTAGGTACCAATAATAATCCCTCCAACTGGCTGAAACAAGGATTTCGCTTTAATTCAAAACATAAACAGTTGAAAATTAACATAAAGGTAATTTCAGTTTTAAATATAGTCCAATATTAAAAAATTAAACTGTCATTAAAATTACGTTATACTTCATTAGCAACAATTAAAGTCAATTATGGAATTAAATGGACGATTATTCCCAAGAAAACAATTATTTTACTCTGTATCAACGGTAACAATCCTATACTTAAAAGGTTATAATTAGATGTTATTGAGTAAGTTGCCGCAAAAACATATTTTGCATGTAAATTTATGGCAATTACCAAGACGTGGACATAAATATTTCCACTATGAAACTTTGCAAACTGCATTTAAATAATACATTCATGATTTTTATATCACAATAAATTTTAATTTGTGAAATTTAAGTTACAAAAACAGTTGCAATTGTTTGAAGTGTGAATCATACTAGGAGACCTCGCCGCGAACTTCGTACCCTCTTTGGGATATCTCTTCCTTTGGATGGGATATACGCTCGGTTTCAGTCGCTGCGCCGCCGCCTCAAAAATCAGTCTCGGAGTAGGAATGCGGCCACAAATATTGTGACGTAGAGCAATGTGGGGCAAAATGGAAAGGTTGCTTCAATATTTAATTAAAAATAGAAAAAAATATAAATAAAGCAATACTATTAATAGTCCACATGTATACATTCTATATGAATAAAACAAGTTGTAAGTATATGTATGGTTAAAAGCGCATTTTTGGTAATGCAGATCAGTATGTTACGTTTTTTTTTGTCAAAGAGGCGCTAGAAACATACTTAGACATTGATATAACAAAAAACTTAAAAAATATTCAGTCTTTAATAATTGATGTCAGTTTTTTTCATTTTGCCCATTGTGCGAGGCAGATAACAAAAAACTAATTAAATTTCACTTTTCTGGAGCGCATAATTCGTTAATTTCCCAAGAATTTCCTTCTGGAACACATCGGGAATCCACGGAGCGGCGTCAAGAACCATCAGAACTGACAACTGAAAACCAGGAACCTGGGTTACCTAAAAAAGGGACGAGTTGTGGGAACCGGTCGCCCTGGATGAGACGGATCATGATTTATGTTGTTCATTTGAAGATTTCAGACATAAAGAGATCAAGAGAGATTAAGTTCTTTTATTACTAACCACCACCCTGGGGTAAACTGTCATCAGTCGCAAAAGTTTGTGTACTCCCGTCACCTGCATGTAATTTTTCCAACATTTTACGTTTATTGTTTTTGGCACCATTAAGTACTAACCACCTAAACCAAGGATACGTCCATGGCAATAATTACCAAAACTTCATCGTCATTATAAAAATACCAATTGTAACAATTATCTGTCACAAATACATCATGTGACGTAAAACGACGTAGAAAGTTATACAATAATTTTAAACAATTTAATGCTTGAATACATAATGAAACCATACGTTGTAAACAAGATATAATTCATTTAATGGTACGGCATCGCGTCTACTTTGAAATTCTTGTTTTTATGATGCCCATGTGCTTGAAAATTGAAGACGCAATAAATAGTAAACATTTGTAAAATATTTATAACATGTTCTTCCCTTGAAAGCTATCAATTGGAGGTTACGTTAGAATTTTTAGTTGCGTCATTAGCAGACAGATTACCAACATTCGATAACCTTTAGTGATAGTTTCATATACAACTTTCATTAATCGGAGCGATGCGACGCGACGCTCTTATCGTTTTGAGAGACACTAGTAGATTTCATTGTCCGGCATATCTCACCGATAGGATAACTGTAGTACTTTTGAACTGCTTTATTACGAAGTATTCTTCACTTCTCAAAGGGTCCAATTGAAATTGATTGTGATCCATTTTCTCCTATGTGGTAAATTAGCAAATTATTAACAATAATTTAATAAATTATTGTGGTGAAGATTAGGAGATAATTCGTTAATAGACTAAATATAAACCGCCAGTTATTGCCTGTGCCCTATTCGTCCGTCTCTATATCAAGAAGTACTTCTCCCCTACTTTTTTTGTTATAAAATTTGTTGCTCAGCTCACCAGTAAAACGATTTTTTTTTACTAAAAAGGAGCTAATTCTTCTGATGTTAAGAAACTAAAGGGGTACATTCCAGTTAGTTAAAGGTGATTTTTGTTGTAAATGTATAATTTCATATTAAATTACTGATTTTACCTCCTAATAAAAACTATAGGTACTTTGTGGGTACCCAAAATCCACATGAGTGCACTCTAAATTAAGTACAAACACTTCCCACTCTTATACCATTGACTAAATTAGTCAATGCTTATACAAAACCTATTTTAGAAGGATGTAGTATATAATGTACGTACTGTAACAAAGTAGGATGAATTTATTAGTCTCGCTGCATAGGTGTTTATTTAAGATGCCGTCAGAAAAAATGTAGGAAAATAGAACACTAAAGAATATTTATGAATGGGTCTCTACAAAATGATTCGTGACCTTGTGGTCTTATTGAGTTTAATTACATTTTGTTATTTAATTAAATATAAATAAATCGTCCGCCAATTTATTTTCTTTGCAATTATAAACAATAATTTCTTGGCAAACGACCATGAGTCACTTACACTCTGTCACGAGGAATACAGATAACATACACATTTAAAGCATTGAAAAGAAAAAGGCCAGCATCTAATGGCAGTTATTAACTTCTTTTCAGCCACTACAATAAATTGATGAACTGCGTAAATAATTTAATTTTTAATTGTATTAAGTGGTAACTATCTGATATAATCGATAATAATCTATAAAATTGTACAGTGGATTTACGTAGTCCCTTTTGCGGTGCTGATAAACTACAAAATGTTACAGTTGGTAAATATTATGATTCTTTTAGTTAATATGATTTTTTTTCTTCAGTCACATTTTTTAAATCTCAGATCATACTGGGTGGTGCACGGTAAGTACATAGAAACATAGGGATTTAACGTGGGAAATTAGTTTTATGCAATATCCTGCCTTCCTGTACATTTTACAAAAAAAAACTGTGGAGTTAAAAGTTGTTCCGAATTAAAAGGTGCATACAAAACTCTTTTTACATGTTTTATTAAGCTTTTGGTATACCCGCAAATTTAAATATAAATTTCAACATTTCTGTTATTAGTAACAATTCATAAAACAACAAAAGTCATGGCTATTGCTACTAATAACAGAAATGTTGAAATCTATTTTTAAATTTTTACCAGTATACCAAAAGCTTAATAAAACATGTAAAACAGTTTTGTATGCACCTTTTAACTCTGAAAAACTTTAAGCTCTACAGTTTTCTCTGTAAAATGTACAGGAGGGCGGGATATTGCATAAAACTAATTTGCCATGTTAAATCCCTATGTTCCTATACTTACCGTGCACCACCCGGTATAAGAATATTTTTTTACAAACGCTTAACTAGTCCTTCATTCCTTCAATACTTAAAGTTATAAATGGTGAAAGTAAAATATTGTTAGAAAGGCCATTATTCTCTGAATTTGGAACGGTAATGACATAAGTAACTCCATTTGTATTCAAAATAGATCTTTAGGTACTTTTTGATTGAGATGCGTATTTGGTTAGGACATGTATCTCACAGCACAGCTATAGGTACGTATACGTTTTCTGAACTGTTTGGCCACATCTTTTGTATTTCTATGGCTAAAAGGATCCATGTCCCTCCCTCCCTCAGTGTAAAAAGTTGACATACTGTCATCTCTCATGGTAACCGCACTTTATCTAATTAAATGTCAATCTTTACAAATAGACTATTGCAACATGAGAATCTCTTTAACCAATCTAAGTTAGATAATAATTCATTTTTAACAATAAGAAATCAATGGGCTGTTTTATACCTATTTTATCGCCCTTTAGCAAAATTATTTGCGATTGCACTTTTCCTTAATTTTGGCGTATCACATAAAAGTTACCAACGACCAATACTCTCTCAAGGAAAAAGGAAACCGACACTTTACCGCCAACGCAGAAATAATTTACGGTTAGAAATATGTATTACAGTTATGACTACGTATGTACGTGGTGAAAGTAATTCCTTTATACGTTTATATGGATTTCTGGTACAAGGTTTTTCTTCCTGTCTTTAATACGTTGAACGGTCCTTGTTATGTCTTCTAACAGAAATACCACCAATTTAGCATTATGACGTAATTCACCGAAGGTCTTTATTACATCGAGGATCATTTGAGAACACGGATATTGAGGATGACCCATAAAACTTTCACTACATATAATATAAAAGAAAACTACGTAATCCAAACTCATTTGCATCTTTCAAAGTAGTTTGCTTATTTGGAGTCTCAAATTGTTACAAGTTTAGACAGTTGCAAAAATAATTGTTACTAGTCGGTTACTAGCATTTTTCACTAAAAAAAGACTTTAGTTCTTTGTAATTACATAATTTTACTCCACAAAAAATTTCAAAATTGGGGCTTCAAGTTCCAAAATTATTACACTATTATGTCGACTATTATATTTGTACACCATATGTTTTTACACGCGTATTAATTAAAGTCCTTTAAATTGCTGAATAATTTCTACACACATTATAAATTAGTGACCTTGTTAAGTATCTAAATATTGATTGATTACTATTGAATACTATCCGTCTATGAAGCCAAATCGTAATTTTATAGTATGAGACATAAAGGATATTATTTACTATAGTCCACTGCTCTGTTTTACTTAGTAATTATTTCGTACTGCCGATAAAAACATATTTGATAAAAAGAAAGTATTGGTTTTAGTTAACGGCTTAGTTAACGGTATGTTATAATTGGAACTATTTCTGCCATGAATGAAAGTGAGATTGAGTAAATGATATTTGCAGATATTCAATGGGTGTATATTGCATATGGCATTTGTAATTATTACTTTTTCCTGTAAGCACTTTGACTTCTTGTTCAAGTTATCCAGAGGAGGAACCTTGCAAGCCATATAAAAGCAGGAATTGTTTAAAATTCCTACAAAAGTTGGTATTTTTTTAAC